ACATGCAGACAAAACACCCATGCACATTAAATAAATAAATAAATAAATAAATGTAAACGTATATACACATATATGTGTATATTAAAATATATGTACATATATAATATACAATAATGTATAAAATAATATGATGTAAGATAGATGATAGATAGATAGATAGATAGATAGATAGATAGATAGATAGACGGATAGATGAAAAAATTGGTACAAGGGCTGGGGAGGTGTTTTGGTGGATGAGAAAACTTATTTGGCAAGCATGAGGACTTGAATTTGAATCTCCAGCACCCACATAAAAAATTGGACAATCATGTACCAGTAACCCTAGCAATGTGGAGCAGAGACAGGAGGATGCAAGAACTCATTGGCCAGTCAACCTAGCCCAAAAAGCATCTTTTCATTCAGTAAGATACCCTATTTTAAGGCAACAAGATAGAGAGCAATAGAGGGAGGCATTTATATCCTGCACTGATCTCCAAAGAGGAAGAATCTGCTCTGACCTCCAAATGCATGCAGGAGGAATCTGCACACTCAGTTTTAAATTTTAGGCACCACACACATACACCATACACACAGAGAAGGAATTCCGGGGAAACAGAAATTGATACATTCAATTGAGACCACAAAACCAGTGAATAGTAATTTTAATAGTGTATCTCTTTTTGTTGTTGTTTGAGACAAGGTCTTGCCATGTTAACCTTGGCTGGGCTGAACTCCCTAAGTCGACTGGGGTGGGGGGCTTCTAACATGTGACAGTCCTCTATCCCTGTCTCTCTTGTTCAGAGTAGACTTTTATTATCCTCCCAAATGTCTGTGGTTTCTGTAGTGATGGTTTCATCTTCCTAAAGTCTTTGTGATTAGGTTAATTTTTATCTTATTTTTTCTTAGTTGGACTGGCTAGGGACATTAATTTTATTGGCCTTTCAAAAGCGCCCTGTCTGTGCTGACTCTCTCTATTAATTTCCTGGTTTTAGTTTCATTGATATCCCTTTAAATGTTGGTTGTCTCTGTTCTTCTGTTTACTTTGGGTTTAATTGATCTTTCTTTCTACTCTGATGATATGGGAGCCTTGAAGTCTGGCTTTCAGTCTTCTTTGGTTACCATGCATTTGGTGCTATAACCTTCTGTGCTGTTTTCTCTGAATTCTAAACATCTCAAGTTATACTTTCATGTGATTCAAAATATTTTTTAATATCCTCTGAGCTTCCCCTTTGAGCCCTGTTATTAAAATGTATCTTGTGATATCCAGCTATTTGGGGATTTTCCAGATATCAGTGATTTGTTTTTCTCTTTTTTTTCCCCTTCTTTCCCTCATCTTCCTCTTCCCCACTCCTCTTCCCCCTCCTCCCCCTTCTCTTCTTCCTTCTCCTTTTTCTTTTTCCTTAACTTTTTCTTATTTATGTTTTTTTCAAGGCAGGGTCTCTTGTAAGACTCAGTATGTCTATGTAGTCAAGGATGACCATGAAGTCCTGATCCTCCTACCTCTGCACCCTAATTATTGAGTTAATAGCCATGAATTACTGTGCCTGTTTTATTGCCACTGGTGATTCATGTTTTAATTTTACTCACCCATAGCCTGAGAATATACATTGTGTGGTTACTATTTTAAGTGTATTAAGGTGTGTTTTATAGCCTAGAGTGTGGTTTGCACTCGTATGTGTTCCATGTAACTAAGAAGAGTGTTTATATTGCTGTCCTCGAATGAAACAGCCTTAGATGTTGATCATGCCCAGCTGACTTACAATTGCACTCACTTCAGCTATCTGCCTTATGATTATCATAGATCTGCCCATCTCTGATAAGTAGTACTGAAGAACCCATCATCTCTTTCTTTCTCCCTACAGTTCTCTTGATTTGCCCTCATGTATATCGAGGTTCCATTGTTATACAGTGTACATAAAGATCATTATACCTCCTAGAAGGATCCACTCTGCTATCAACTACTGCTCTATCTGCACTACTACTCTTTATTCCTTTCCATGTTTCTTTGCTCTAAAGAGCGCTGTCTAAAAACAAAACTATTCTAGCTTTCCTTTATTAATATTAACATGATACATCTTTCCTTTTACTTTTAACCCATCTAACTCTTTCTTGGCTTATTATGAATGGTATATGGCTTGGATTAAGGAATATATCATTTATTAGTCAGATGGTGGTGGCATACATCTTTAATCCCAGCATGCCAGAGGCAGAGGCAAGCAAATCTATGAGTCTGAGGTCATCTACATCTATGGAGTGAGTTCCAGGGTGGCCATGATTACACAAAGCAACTCCGTGTCAGGGAAAAGAAAAATAAATAATAATAATAAAAAAAACCAAATCCATTACAAAAACAAAAATGTCATTTATTTCCAGTACATGCATGAACTTTAAGTTTAATATCAGCACTACATGTATGATTGCATAAGAACATTATAAAATTAGAACCAAAATCTACCTAACAATCTACCTAGCATCTCAGGAGAAAAAAGTTGCTGAAAATTCAAGCAGCAGAAGAGGGCAGTAAAACTCAACAGAATGTTCTAGAAGATGTTAATACATTTCCTTATTTTCCTTTTTTAGTTTCTCAAAAATCTGTCATATGCTAACAAGATGTATTTTGTACAGCAGACACTTATATGTGCCCAAATTTATACAGAAACACCAAAGTTCTGCCCAGCTTATCGCTATACTTGCTATATGACAAAAATCTTATTAAGGAGCACCATTATCATTGTGCTTTGCCATACAGAACAGGTTGAATCACCTTGATTTGGTTTGGGACAGCTAATATTCCCTTGTAATCAGCATTCACAATGCGCCTGTATACTGTGCTCTGGCATCCCAGACTTCTCAAAAGCAGCCAATTACAAGATGATTTTCCCTTACATCCTTATTTGGACTTCTTTTCAAAACTGCTCATCTTCAAGGTCTAAGTTTCTTCCTGAGTTCTTGTGTAACTCTGTAGTATATGGAGCTCTCTTTACCTTACATTTGAAGTTGCAGATTAAATCAGCCAGCTGAACCATACAGATAGTTTTAATTGAATTTCCTCTGTGATTGTGCTGAATGTCTTTAAAACTTTCAAGTAGTCTGAATGCAATTATGCTCTATGCTTTGTTTTCTCCTCTCACTTTTATTCATAATGTTTTCTTTTTTCTTTTTGTTTGTGTGAGACTAGATGTTTCTGTGTATAGCTGGCTGTCCAGAAACTTGCTCTGTGGACCAGGCAGGCCTCAGAGATCTGCCCTGGCTCCCTCTTCTCCCTCAGTGCTGGGATTAAGAACCAATACCACCATTCCTCCCCACCCTTTGTCATAATCTCTTAAAATATCAGAATATACTTCTCTACATAATAGGTATACAACTAATATCAGGAGAGGATGGGGTGGTTCAAGATCAAATGAAGATTTCATTATAAGATTTGAGTACACTGTCAAGAGTGTGAATTTTTACATGGTTCCTAGCTATTAGGAGCTCTAATAAACTTACAGTTTGAGCCCATGCACTTCACTCATTTAAAATAAAACAGAAAACAAGGACGATTTCAAGGGTTTCCCAAAAAGAAAACAGTCTGTGCACTCAGTTGAAATTTCCCATAGGACTCCATGTAAGAGGTTGGGAGTGCCATACATGGAATGATTAAACATGACTAGAACAAAGGCTCTGGGTGACATGGAATTTTAGTCACCATGTCTCATGTAGAATCAAATTAGCATGCTCATGAAGCAAACAGTTTTAAAAAAAAAAGTTCCATGAGTGTTCTTACTTTAACGTGTTTGGTAGAGTTTCTTTCCTAAGCTCTGTTTCTCATGTTTGATTCCCCCACTGTGGGTCTTCTCTCCTTACATTTTTGTATTGTTTTGTTTTGTTTTGTTTTGTTTTGTTTTGTTTTGTTTTGTTTTGTTTTGTTTTGAACAGAGGTCTTGCAGTGTTGCTCGGCCTCCTTCAAACCATTTTCCTGACTTTACTGAGAATATAGTTTAATTTCAGATTCTGTGTCATTTTTTTCTCCATTCATTCCAAGAAGGCACAGTTTAATTGGATGTTTTTGTTTTCCTCCTTTTCTTCTTTCGCTGGTTTTTTCACTCCTCCATCCTCACATCCCCATCCCCAGCCAACAGAAACACAGTAGAAAGATATTCAGCACTGTCAAAAATATCACCTCTCTAGGCAATTAATTCTTTTATCAAACAGTGTTTCAGAATGAAGTGGATTTTTTTAAGGTTAGCGAGAATAAGGCCAGTTATCGAAAAGTTAGTATTATCTTTTGATCCGTTGCCATAACATACCTTCTTGTAAACATGGACAGAAAAAATTTTTAAAAGGCACATTTGAAAACACATTCTTTTTAGTGTTACGTCTTTGTTGAACAAAATGTTAAAAAGCTATGTAACAGCAGGGGGAAAATACCTTAAAGCAATGCAGTGGACACTTAGAATTCGGATGAAGTGCAGCTCAGCCTCTGTCCCTAGGAAAGACGAGTGCCCCGGGGCTCAATAGAACCGCGGAGCCTGGAGGGCAGTTCCGTGAAAGACTTCACTCTAACTCCATCAGTACATATGTGGACCCTGACAGCAGCCCTCTCATTTCATTAAAAAATAGAATGAATTAAATAAACTGGTAGCTGTGTGCGTGCTCTGAGCAGCGAGCACGTCAGACTGCGCCACAGTGGGGAGAGGCGAGGGGATTCCCTTAGTTAGGACCTCGGATCCCGGGAGAGGAAGCTGTGACATTCTCGCGCTCCTCGGCCCCCACTAGATGCGGGACTAGGAGGAAACCCGAGACCCCAAAGAGAGCCAGCCTAGGCGCAAGCACAGTGAACCACACGGAGCCTTGAGTGATGGAGAAGGCGGTGCAGCTCTCTTGGCACCACCTGGGGCAGCCGAGGGCAGCTTCCCGGCTTCCCTCGTCTCTCATTTGCGTGGGTAAAAAGCCTTCCCCTATGGGTCTTGCGCAACTCGCTGAAGCGGAGATGGGGGAAAGATGTTGGGGGTTGGGGAAAGCCAAGACGGAAAGACACCGTCACCACAACGTCACGTGGAGTCCGCTTTACCAGACTTTAAAAGCCAGGTTCTCTGCGTTAGCAGCCAGTTGTCAAACTGCGAGCTAAGAGCTTCAGGAGTGTCGGGACCCTGCTTACGAAGGAACTCAGCGCTGTATCCTGCCAGCTCCGCCGCCAGCTCCGCTGCCACCCGCTGCTGCCACGGCCGCTGCCACCTCTGCGATGCTATTCCGAGCTGTGCTGATCTGCGCCGCCCTGGCGCTCAGCCATGCAGGTGAGTGAGAGGCTCTGCGCCCAGAGGCGCCCCTGGACTCCTTAGTCTCAGACCCCTTTCTGGGAGTGTGGGACTGGCTGTGTGGGATAGGCTGTGTATTGGCAAAGAGCCTGAACCGAAGGAACTGCAACCCGCTTTTAGGTAATGGGCTATTACTCAACTGAACAGAGAACCACTCTCATTTGCTAAAAACCAATAGTCTTAATGGTTTACAGGTTGTCATTATGGTAAGGCAGAATCTGATCAATACTTATGAAAAGCATGTGTGTAGACAAATGAACAGGAGTTATGGCTTTACATACCTGTCAGAGCTCCTCTGACCATAGGAAAATCCGGAATACATTTTAAAAATTATATTCAAAATGTTAAAAACTTGTCTGGTTTACTTTCATTTTCTTTACACTAAATTTTGACAAATGTACTAGGTTGATCCATGTTAATTTTGAAAGGGCTATTTAGTAATTCTAGTCTGAGTTATCCAAGTTATTTTGAAAATGTTGGTAATGTAGCTATGAAGTTAGGTCCTCTGCTTTTCTTGCTTAAGAATAGAAAGTTGCTATTTCTACATTACAACCATTTGATGAGACAGACAATTAAAATAAAGACCTTTTTTTCTGGGACTACCTGTGTATTTGTCAAATATATCATTGTAGAGTTGACCCATAATGATACAATTAAATCCTTAAGTTAAGATGAAGACAACCAAGAGTGACTGACAGGCTGTCTTATTTTTTAATGTAGCAAATCCTTGCTGTTCCAACCCATGTCAAAACCGTGGTGAATGTATGAGCATAGGATTTGACCAGTATAAGTGTGACTGTACCCGGACTGGATTCTACGGTGAAAACTGTACTACACGTAAGTTTTTCCTGGGTTATCTTCCTTTGGAATGGGACCACATATGGTTACCATCATTTTGTAAATTTGTATCCTGTGGTGGGCGCCTGCTTAACTCTTCCTCCTGCTTTGTCTCTCTCCAGCTGAGTTTCTGACAAGAATCAAATTAATGCTGAAGCCCACCCCAAACACAGTACACTACATCCTGACCCACTTCAAGGGAGTCTGGAACATTGTGAACAACATTCCCTTCCTGCGAAGTTCAATCATGAGATATGTGTTGACATGTAAGTACAACCCTCCTTGTTTTCCAGCATCCTCCAACAAAACTATGCACTAGAAACCCAACCCAAAGAAATATTCTCAACCTTTTCAAAATGACTTGAAGTATACCTATTCCATTCTGTTTTTTTTTTTCTCCTCTGAAATGTCTAAAATACTGTCATGTAAACCTGTAGTCTGGATCCTAGTTATGACCCCTGTCCTTCATTCCTGTGGAGGAAGTGTGGTTCACTTGTTCATTGAATACCCAGGGCTCACAGGAATTGTTCTGAACACACAGCACCCTTTAAAACAAATGATTGCTTAGTGTTTGGGTCAGAAGGGAAAATAGCTGTCTATAGTTCTATGTGAGGGCCATGCCCAACTGTATCTGTCATCAGCTATGGAACAGGGAGGGGTGGTAGCTGAAAAGTCAAGACTACTGGAGCGTAATGTCCTGGGTAAAGCCTAAGCTTTATTGAAGATGTATTTTCAGTGCCCTTTAAAGTTTAGTCATTGTCAAGCAAGGTATTTTTGTCTGAATGAAATCCAATCTCTGTACTTGCTACATTATACAATGATAATTGACATTTCCCTTGTTTTTTTTTTTTCATATGAGGTCCAATAATTTTTTTCTCTTTAAAACTTCAGCCAGATCACATTTGATTGACAGTCCACCAACTTACAACGTCCACTATGGTTACAAAAGCTGGGAAGCCGTCTCCAACCTCTCCTACTACACCAGGGTTCTTCCTCCAGTAGCCGATGACTGTCCAACTCCCATAGGTGTGAAAGGTGAGCGCAAAGAAATACAGATGTAGCAATTGCATCGAGGGTTGGGTGTGTACCTAGAAAAGTTGACCTTACATTGTCCTTTATTTGAAACTGCAAATAGTTTTGTCTTTAGTATGGCTACCCACAGAGGCTTATTAAAAGTGCAGATCTATTATGTGAAAGTAAATCTCCATTTTGATATAATGTCTTAACATTAGTGCATTATGCTAAGTAGAACTGATGTTAGTTAAAATTGATAGAACTGTTCAGTAAGTCCTCCCTTCACAATATCTTAAAACTTGAATTTATAGTCTTAGCAGGATAGCATATTGCCTGTCATCTCTAAGGTAAAGGTTAACCAATAACTCAAGACCATTCTGGGATAGAGAGTGAGTTTCAGTCCAGCCTAGGGTACAAGCATGACACTGTGTGCCTCAAAGCACAGCAACTGTATTGATACTGTGATCCTCTTCGAGACCATGCTTCTAAGTGATGGATGCTCCCATGAATTAGTCGTCTGTTTGCTTGAACAAATATGTGCATGGATAGATATTTACTGTAGAGTTTTCATGTTCTAGGAAATAAGGAGCTTCCTGATTCAAAAGAAGTGCTGGAAAAGGTTCTTCTCAGGAGAGAGTTCATCCCCGATCCACAAGGCTCAAATATGATGTTTGCATTCTTTGCCCAGCACTTCACTCATCAGTTTTTCAAGACAGATCAGAAGCGAGGACCTGGGTTCACCCGAGGACTGGGCCATGGAGTAAGTAGGCTTAATTCAGATTTAAAGCAAATCCTTAGGAAATACTGACATCTCACCATGCCAAACAAATCACGCCCATTTTTTTTATTATCCAAATGTCAGGTCTACTAAAACTATAATAGAGCGTTCCATTTTTCATTTGCTGGTTTAGTAAAAATGAACAGACATACACAGAAATATTTTAATGTAAATTTTCACAACCATCTGTAACTCTAGCCAGTTCTAGGGGATTTGATGTCTTCTTCTGCCATACATACATACATACATACATACATGTATGCATGCATGCATACATACATACAGGCAAATTCTCATGCATATAAAATAAAATAAATCTTAAGAAAATCACTTTTTGAATTTTAAAGACAACAAAATCATCAAAATTTAATAAGAAATGATAGTAAGGAATCAGTAAATTGAAATTTCTTTATTAATTAATTTTCTAGGTGGACTTAAATCACATTTACGGTGAAACTCTAGACAGACAACATAAACTGCGCCTTTTCAAGGATGGAAAATTGAAATATCAGGTATTTTTCTTACAGTTTTAAAATTATCACCTGCCATTTAGACTTACATTTTAAAACTATTGTGGCTTTTCTTCCTTTCTTTTTTTTTTTTAACTCTGTTATTACTGTTGTGATTTAGGTCATCGGTGGAGAGGTCTATCCTCCCACAGTCAAAGACACTCAGGTAGAAATGATCTACCCTCCTCACATCCCTGAGCACCTGCAGTTTGCTGTGGGGCAGGAAGTCTTTGGTCTGGTGCCTGGTCTGATGATGTATGCTACAATCTGGCTCCGGGAGCACAACAGAGTGTGTGATATCCTCAAACAGGAGCATCCTGAGTGGGATGATGAGCGACTGTTCCAAACCAGCAGACTCATACTCATAGGTGAGCAAGAGAGATAGAAATGAGTAAGAACATCTCCCCCTAATATGTTTGATTCCTTCTTGTATAGAAGGAGAGTGAATGTGATCTGGTAACATACCTACTATTTGTTGTATGGAAAATTAACTCTCCGTCTTGTACAACAGGAGAGACTATCAAGATAGTGATCGAAGACTACGTGCAACACCTGAGTGGCTACCACTTCAAGCTCAAGTTTGACCCAGAGCTCCTTTTCAAAGAGCAGTTCCAGTATCAGAACCGCATTGCCTCTGAATTCAACACACTCTATCACTGGCACCCCCTGCTGCCCGACACCTTCAACATTGAGGACCAGAAGTATACCTACAAACAGTTTCTCTACAACAACTCCATCCTCCTCGAACACGGACTCGCTCAGTTTGTTGAATCATTCACCAGACAGATTGCTGGCCGGGTAAGCATTGTTCCTGAAAAGCAAGACCCAGCTGGCTAGTAGCTTTAGGATTTTTGTCATAGGGACAGTTTTTTTTTTTCTTTCACTAAAAGAATAGTCAGGTGTTTTACTGGTTCTTGAAACACGGTGGCTGGAAGGTTTTTAAAAAGTCTATAGTGTTTGTCTAAAATGATCAAGCAAATAACAACACCTGTCTATCTTAAAAATAATATTTTAAAATATTGCAGTCATCTTATAGATTACAGAAGTAAATATTCAGACTTGTCTATCAGCTTATTTTTTTTTTTTATAATCATAAAAGGCCCGTTCCTTACAGACTGGAAGTGATGAGGCCAAGATGTAGGACCACAGGAATATGCCCAAGAATCTCATTTTATTATTTACTTTTCTCAGGTTGCTGGGGGTAGGAATGTTCCAATTGCTGTACAAGCAGTGGCAAAGGCTTCCATTGACCAGAGCAGAGAGATGAAATACCAGTCTCTCAATGAGTACCGCAAACGCTTCTCCCTGAAGCCTTACACATCGTTTGAAGAACTTACAGGTGAGAAATGGTTTCTGAAATTTCCAAAAGATCGAGGATTAAATGGGAAAAGAGAAGATGAGAGGGAATTTAGTGAAGGGATAAACTATCTTCTTCTTCTTCCTCATCTTCCTCATTTTTCTTCTTCTTCTTCTGGAAATAGAAAAGGATCCAGTTTATTGAGAAAGAGGAGTGGGAATGGGGGTCGGCTTGTGAGCAGGGGAACAGCCTATGTTCAACAACCAGGACTACTTTCAGCCGTTCCCAGTTTGATATACCTATATCTCTATCTTCTGTACCTTCCAGGAGAGAAGGAAATGGCTGCACAGTTGAAAGCCCTCTACAGTGACATCGATGCCATGGAACTCTATCCTGCCCTGCTGGTGGAAAAGCCTCGTCCAGATGCTATCTTTGGGGAGACCATGGTAGAACTTGGAGCACCATTCTCCTTGAAAGGACTTATGGGTAATCCCATCTGTTCTCCTCAATACTGGAAGCCGAGCACCTTTGGAGGAGAAGTGGGTTTTAAGATCATCAACACTGCCTCAATTCAGTCTCTCATCTGCAATAATGTGAAGGGGTGTCCCTTCACTTCATTCAATGTGCAAGATCCACAGCCTACCAAAGCAGCCACCATCAATGCGAGTGCCTCCCACTCCAGACTAGATGACATTAACCCTACAGTACTAATCAAAAGGCGTTCCACAGAGCTGTAAAAGTCTACTGACCATATTTATTTATTTACATGAACAATTTTATTTAATTATTTAATATTTATACTGAGTGCTTTTTTTTCACTAACATCTTCTATAACAGAAGACGATGTTCTTGAACAATGTTACATTTGTGAAGATTCCCATGTTTGTACTTTAAATATGTGTTACCCGAAAGGGAAAAACAGCTTTCATTTTTCTGCATAAGCCAGTGAGAAGGGAAATGGATTTTGATATCTTTATACTTGAATTTCAGCTCATGGATAGCTTAATAAGAACAAAGGAAAGATGTATGACTATTTAAGTGCTATTACAAGATGAAAAATGCTGCAGGTATCAACACTGATGGTTATGACCGTGTCCTCCTTACTATGTTAGAAGCATGTAATGTGGAATTTCTTTTAAATAATGCATATCTTTATCTCATCAAACAAACGGGTACAAGTTCAGTTTTAAGTGAGCGTTGAAGGCAGATACTGGCAACTCTCTCATTTTTAAAAGCAATCTTGAAACAAATAACTTGAAATTTCTAAATTGGGAGTTTGAATCACTTTCGAAAGGCCTTAGTTTCTTAAGCTGTCAAGTTTGTACCCACAGCAATCAAACAGGCATCATAAACATAAATCTCCAAAACTAGTAGTAATTATATTATTATTGATGGTTAAGACACCACGTCAGGGATTTTCTTTTATCAGGAGTAGTGAAAAGCTACTTACTATGACAATCAGACCTTCCTTGTATGTCAAAATGCTGGCATAGGAAGGTCATAGAGCCTGTGCTGTTCTGTCTTAAACTATGGGTATGAGTTTTTAAGCTTGTTTATGAGTGGTAGCCAGCAAAATCTATAGGAACAAAAGAGTCTACAAATGAAATAACCAAGAACAAAGAAGGGTTCCAAATTAAAGATCACATCTGGGATTAAACTTCTGAAGGAGATTTTCTGATCCTTCAGGTGTGATGCTGGTCTGGTACTCAACAGGTTTTTGCTGTGAAGTTAAAGACTCACCAGGCTGGACATTAAACAGTTTTTTCTGTTGCACAGTATGACGTAATAGTCCATCTCTCAATGCAAAAGATATCAGTGGCCTGTGAGCTTCTTCAAAATATTGACATGTCTTTCAGCTCATGGTACCTGGATGCTGTAGGGCCCATGCAATATATGAGTTCAGCCTGGATGCCAGCATGCTGCTCCTCTTAGCTCTGTTTCTTATAGTCATTTTACTATGAGAAACTGCTGATTGATTTTCTGTTGCTGTGTTCTGGGTTTTTAGTATCAGAAGCATTCTTTCTTTAACCTCTATTAATATTTTCTCTACTTGAAGTTTTATATTCAGGAAAACCTCAGCTCAGGACTACTATGTAGCTCCCCTTTGGAGGAAAAGAATTACTTTAGGCAAAAGGCAAAAAAAAAAAAAAATTTAAATATATTTTTATTTATAATTATATGGAAGGGCCCTACCAAGATGCCGGAAATGTAGGGGGTTTCTGACAAGAAAGTCACATTCTTGTTCTGAAGAATTGCTTTTTTACTTAAAAACAAAGTCAGTTAGTGGATAGTTCTGGGCAATAGGAATAAATATGAAACAATAATGATGATCATTTTCTACATCTCATTATCAGCTGAGGTACTGTATATTACTGAATTTATTGAAGATAGTTATGTCTTTTAGACATTATTGTTATAAACCATGTTTAAGTCTACTACAAGTGTTTCTTTTTGCCTTGTGTCAGAATTGATGTACCTTTTTATGATTACCTCTCTGAACTACTGTGTAAGAAAACAAAAAAAATAATGAGATTAATGTTTGTGGATAAATTTTAAGAAAACTAGTATATTTTATTGAAAAGTTTAAAGTTAGAACTTAGGCCATTGGAATTTACTCATGAAGCAGACTGCATAAAATCAATATTGACTCACTTATGCATGTTATAAAGACTAACATTTTAGACATTTTGAAGGCCCTATAGGTGCTTTATTAATTAGTTAGAATTTAATTTATTAAAAAATATATCCAAAGCACTATAGGCATTAGAATTTGTGAATCAAAAACTGATTATAAATAATATTGATATAATGTAAATAACTAAAAAGTGTATCTTATGAAGAAATATGTTTTATTACAAAGAAATTATAAAACATTTTGAAGATTATATGCTTTAAAAGTTTAAGATCAGAAAATAATCAACTTTAGAAAAAATGTATAAAAATTGTTAATGTCATTGATTTTAAAAAAAAAAGCCAACATGATTGTTGTGACTATCAACCTGCTGACTGAACCTGTACATTCAGCTTAAGTATGTGACTGCTACAGTGCCTCAGAGAAATTTGTATTTAAATTAACTCATGTAAAAAAAAATCTTAGAACAAATGCTTGTTTATTTTTATACTTATTTAAGAATTGAAAACTTCTGAAAATAAAGTTTGATTGTTTCTTTATATAATGGCATTGATATCTCTGAATCATGATCCTTAAACCATTACCTTATGTTCTTTCATCTACAATAAGAGTGAAATGTACCTTAACCGTAAAACAGTTGCCTAATGTTTAGGAGCCCCCGGGTTCTTTCCTCAGCACTGAATAAGAAAACTCTAGGCTGTCCCTCAAATGGCTCTGCTCTTGCCCCTGTCTACTCTACAAGAGTCTATTTACCGCCTCAGTTGCTGAAGAACTGTTAAATGTGTGCTGTGCACTACAGAGACATCCACTGGTGTGTTTTCACTGCCTAATCTAGAAGAAGCAAATTCAATACACAAGAGGTGGAGCAGGCAAGTGAAATGGCTCAGGACGGAAAGGTGCTTCCCCCAAACCTGATGGCCTCAGTTCAATCCCCCAAATCCATCCACATGGTGGAAGGAGAAAACTGACTCTCATGAGTTGTCTTATCTATCTATCTATCTATCTATCTATCTATCTATCTATCTATCTATCTCGCACACACAGTAAATATACTTTAATTATTGTTTAAAAGGCAAAGACTAAGATATGTGTTACACAGGAAGTACAAAATATGATATGGAAGTTCAAAAGAAATGGGTGGAGGGAGAAAAGGGATTGAAAAAGAAAGGAAAGTAGAGAAGAGAAGAAGAGAGGGGAGGAGACAGACTGGAGAGGGGAGGGGAGGGGAGG